GCAGATGAACCTCAGGATTAAAGGGTGGGCTCAGTTCAGCGCACGCTGTGTCTCACCTAAAAAATCCACTGCGCAGGCTCGAAGGGTCAATGACCTTTCCCAAATCTTCGCTCGCGAAGACTGGCCATTATATACACTAATTAATATTTCAGATTGCAGTTATTTATTTTGAGGGTCCACCCTGGATTTTTCACAAGTTCTATTACAAAAACAGAACTCCTTCCCTATGCATTTCAAAGTCCATCCTGTCTAGTGGAATGTTTTTTTAGTAAAACATTTGCACATCTATTAATACGCTGACAAATAACTCAGGTAAAAATTTTCAGGCTTTGTAGTCTGCGGTTAGCTAGCCTCTTCTGTTAAGCCTGTAAAGGGTTTGCATAATTTTCAAAAGTTGGATCTTCATATAGTGTTCTGTTCTGTTCAAGAAATAGGACATGAGTCCGTTTTCCACACCAAAATCATTCAGACCTGAACATCTGAAGTGGTCTGTTTTTATAGTTCTCATAGACGACTCTAAGACGTGTTTTTCAGAATTGTCATCTTTAAGATTATTGTTTGTAGTGGCTTGATTTGGCATAAAGATTGCTTAGAAACATTGTAAAAAAAAGAAGATTCCAATAAAATATATCTTATTTGTCATACAACCGGTTTGAGAATTACAATTTTTAATAGAATTTTACAAGTGGACAAGTTAAGCGGTTTTAAGCAGAAAGAATTTTACATGTTGAAAATAATGTCATGACAACTAAGTGATAACAGGAAAGCCAGTGCTGCCAGATTTCTTCTCTTTTTCACAGGCTGGAGTGATGGCTTCCTCCTTTCATACTTTTTTTCTGTTAAGATGAGAACATTCTGTCTAAAACAAGCTGTGCATGAAGTTTTAGTGGTATCTTATGCAGTACATAGAGATATTAAATGTAGCATTGGAGATAATGATCTGAATAGCGAGGAGATCTTTGCACAGCTGTGGGGGTTCTTTCTTACTACATCGCCCACTAATTATCCTTATTGCCTGGGAACAATAGAAAGTAAGCAACTGGACCTTATATCTTACTGTATCTTAAAATTATTATCTTAAATTGGGCATCTTTAATTGGACATCTTTTAGCTAGAATGATGCTTTGCACGCCATAATTCAAAAATAGGAAGTTACGCCTAAACCATTACTTGATTTGTCACAGAACGATTGGATCGGTTTTTTTCCTCTGTCATAGTGTTCATCAGCAAACTCTGCATTTTAGTTTGTGAGTTAGAATAGTGCTTAGTCCTACACAAAAGTTAAAGTACTAAAGTTATAATACCTGGTCATAGAATCGTAGATACTTGCTTAGCAGGCAAAGACAATGTAATGTTGCAGGAAAATTAAGGCTGGAGAAAACACGATCGGTTTTCTGATTCATGTCTCATTCTTCAAATTTATTAGTAGGAGAGCCAGAAGATGGTGTTGGTGGGCAAGCAAGGTGATTTCCTATCCCATTTGAACCCCCCAACTTGATGCTTAATGTACAGCTGCACAGGCTTTAATTTAAAGAGTAATGCTGATTTTTCAGTGAAGAACAAAGTGCAAGTCTCTAAATATGTTATTCAAAACAGTGCTATTAGAAGAAAGTAGCTTAATTGTGACAGATTTTAGCAAACAGTGCTGGTTATCCTGCAGAAAGCAATCAAGTGTCTTGTCTCACAGAGTCTCATGGATTATACAGACTTGTGAAGGTAAATATTGGAAAATAGGCTATATTAGGCTATAGTTATAGGTATAGAAGACAAGGGGGGGTTCAGCTGATTGTCTGGGATCATACAGGCTCCTGGCTTTCGTGTCTGGAGGAGGCCTGTCCTGGATGCAAATCTCAGGGTTGTCTGTGGGGCCCAGTGGATGCTTGGGGCAGCACGGTAGTTTTGACACTAGTAGCTGGGAAGGCAGGTCACACAGAGAAAGGTGGGGTGTTGGAAGAGTTGGGTGATTTTTTTGTGGGGAGTTCTGGGAGATTGGGGTCCTTTTTGGGGTTGGGGGGTTGTTAGAGAGTATGGAGGGGCTTTGTGTGAGATTAAGGTCTGTTTTAGGAAGGCAAAGAGTAAGCGGCATGTGGCGAGAGAGCAAGGGGATGTGGGGAGCTGGTAGCATTGCTGGTAAAGAGCAGAGGAAGAGCTACTGCAGAGGCAGGAAAGAGCTACCTTGTTGTATGGATGAATCAAAGCCTCTAATAGCCTTTGCACTGACTCAAGCTGAGATGCTTTGTTTGGGCTGTCCATCCCAGTTGTTTCTCAGGCTTGTACATAACACTGTAAATAAATGGCTCAAACTGTGAAATATTGCAGCTTTAAGCCTGAAGAGTTTTACTATTCAGAGGATCATAGGTAAGAATTAGTGAGGTAGTAAAACTGCCTCACATGTAACTGCTCAGTTGTTGGTGATGGGGTGAAAGTCATGGCAGTATCACCAAGGTGCAGACACTTTGCTTTTAGCTACACAAAATGTTAGCAAGGGTGGGTAGCAAAACAGCTGGACTGGAGCAGTGTAAAGACTGATCCAGTTCCTCTTAGAATTGGACTCAAGAGCTCCCCTGGACTGCTGCAGTGGTCAGGCTGAGACCACAGTCCTGTCAGTAGTGTCCTGGGGACATAAACTAATGTGTAGGAGTGCTGTCCTTTGGCAGGACTTTTCTGCGTAGTGCCACAGTCTTGGCTGGACTCTCAGCGCCACCGAGGGTGGATTGGAGCACGCAGAAGGCAGTGTGTCCCAGGGAAAGCGTATGCCCCGCGGCAGGGAGGGATACTGTGCGTCCTTGATTCACCCAGCAGAGGGCTCCCCTTCTAAGCTAATAAAAATCAGGCTTTATCCCTGATCTAACGGAAAGTAAAATGCTTGGTTAACCACCGTACTTTGGAATGCTCTTTTGGTTTAAGTTTTGACGCTAGCCTGTGCTTTATGTTTCTTGACACCTGATTAAAAGTATTTGATAAAAACTACTAGAATTTTTACAGATTGATCCGTGCATGTGCGTGTTTTTGCATGTAAGTACGTGTAACACACATAAAAACATGTCAAATCTAATCAGTTCTTTTCCTGCTTTAGACATAGAAAAAAATATGTTATCTTGATAGCACAAGACTGTGAGTGTAACTTCAAGTAATAATCTGCTGCAGATTAAATGTGCACCAGTGAAAGTTTCAAAATTTAAATAAAAAGTTAAGACACGGCAATATTTAAAAATACAAGTGTGTGCATCCCAGTATCTTTTTTTGACAAGACACTCGATTCCCTTCTGCAGGATAACTAGGAACTCATTGTCTCTCTGTGGATACCTGTGCTTTTTAAAAAGATTAAAAAGTTCAGTGAGCCAGGGTTGGGTTGTCTTTTCTCCTTTCCGAATATGCTTCTATATTGTGGCCCTATAAACCGAGAAGTTTTCTCAACCCCTTCCACAATTTTAACAGTAAAGAGGCATATCAGCTACAGTCTGAAGTTGGATTTGTTCAGAAACAGAGGTTTACATCTCCACTTGGACTCTGCTGCTTTAAATTATATTTAGAGCTGACAATTGTTCAACTAGGCAAAGGCTAAAACTACAGAAGCAAGGGATTGTTATAGGTGAAGTTGATCAATCAACTGCAAAACATCAAAAATATACTGCAGATATTTGAGATTTCATTATTAGGTGCAAGTGATGTTTTGCAGCATTAGGAGTATTTTGGTAGGTGAAGTATTAGGAAGGCAAAAATTTATATGCTATTTGGCTGCCATAACAAGCAACAAGAAGATCTGAAACAACACAGCTATTAGAAATTCTCACTGTTTGCAACAAGTGGGAGGAAAATATTAATCCCCTTCTCTCTTTATTTGAATGTGTCTGCTTCTCCTTTCACTTTGAATTTATTTCATCATGGAAGTTTATCTGGCAAAGAAGGCAAAGGGGAACAAGCTTTTCAATTGCTGCTCTGTTCCTTTAGCAAGTTTGGTCTCCACTAAACACTAAGGCAAGGAAAATAAATTTGACCTAAAGCTCTCCCTCTTCACTGTTGCTTTCCCAAGAAATGAACAATCCTACCTACTGGAAAACACCATGGATACAGATAGGTGTTTTCTGTAGTATTTTTACTTTACAGAAAATAGGTAAAAAGCCTCACAGCATCAGACTAGGGGTCTTAAAGCAGCACCTGTATTTGTGATCCAGCATAAGTGTGTAGGAGGGGATGCTGTACTTGCAAGCAGGCTCTTTTGCTTGCACAGGGCTGCTCTGAGAGATGCAGCTCTTTTCAAGGATAATTTTTATTCTCTCTTTTTTTTGTTGTTGGTTTTTCTTTTTGTTTTTTTTTTTTTTCCAGTTAACCACTTCCTGTATTTGGCTGTTCATGGTGCTTCTCTCATCTTGAATACTGCATGCAGCAGCCAGTGCTAGAGACTATTTTAAGGCCTCTTACAATGGTCTTCTCATTTACTTAGCTAAAATGAGAAAGTTAGTCCTGCATTGGCCACTTGTTAGCTGATGACAACTTTTACTTTGAATCTGGGTCCCCTCCCCCACCTGAAACCCCTGGCTCAGCAAATATTTGAACCTACCCAAGTTAATCATGGTGGTGGTTTCTTTTTTTTTTTTTTCTGTAGTGCTGAAGTCAGGTGCACTTTTTAATGATGAGCCAGAGTAAGTGGATACCTTCTGCACAGCACAGAGCATTAAGCAGTTAAGAAGAGAGAGAAGGCTTGGATTTTCTCACTGCATGTTGCAGTTTTTTTAGGGATTTTTATGGAACATTGGTTGGAAAGCAGAGCAATCTCTTTTTCAGAATTTTTTTCTTCATTTCTCCCGAAAACCTTCCTAGTGAAAGGAGGCTTTGGGTTGTTTTTTCTAAGAAAGATTTTTATAAGAGGAAACCAATATTGGATTGTATATTCCAACAGTATTACAAGGGCGATCATTTGCAATGCATAATTTACAAAGTAAGTGATTTTCAACTTCTGTGTGTGTTTTCTTCATCATGTTATGGAAGTATCATACTGTAACTGATTACCAGGTAGAGTTTTAATGGTCTTAAGATACATGAATTAAAGTACTTCGGTACCTCTCCAGGTTATATATGGAATCGGGAATAGCCTATCTGCCTCCTGTCTTTTCTTGCCTGCAGGCTAGACTAGTCTGAGCTGAGCACTAACCTGATTATATAAGTTTGTTGAGTCCTAAATTTGGCCACCAGTGAAACCCTAGTGAAATAAGTTTTCCTTAAAATCTTTATGCAATGGAATAAAATCTTACTGATCCCACATGAGACCTAAACGCAGCAATGTTCTCTTCATAGGAAGTCTTTGTTGCTTAATTTAAATAATTACCTTAGCAACTCAACTGTCTGGGTAGCAGATGGGCTAAACCTCCAAGTTCAGTGTTTAGACTTGTGTCTGGGATGATTTTGAGTATCCTATTTCATTTTGGAAATGAAATGAATCTTTGGAGCGTGTCTACCTAAACTGGGAGAGCAGAGTCTACTTCAGAATGAATTTAAGCTTCTTAATGTACAAAGCAAACTAGCATGCATCTTTTTGTATATTCTGGTACTCCAGATAGGCTCTTATATATTGAGGCTTGTCTGAAAGGGTTAACCTGCTGAGAGGCACAGACCAGACGTGTGGGGTGGGAGGGGGAAGGGAGGCAGGGATTAACATATGTGAAATATTTGGGAAGGATATAAATTGTATTAATTTTTTTTAATTAATATTTCTGATATTTCTGAGATAGAACACGTTGAAATGTGCTCTATTTCAGAAATGTTGCTCCAGAATTTCTTATGATGCAGGCACAGATAGTTGCTACAGCTAGTCTTTGTCATGGTTATTTTTGGTCTCTGATTTTCTCCCCCCATAGATTATAGCAAGTATAAAATATTCACGTTACTTTACATAGCATTCTGCTTTGGAGTTAATAGTCTGTTCTGTGCATGTTTCTTCCAAGAGGTGGGAGAGAGTTACAGTCAACTGATGGGGGGAGTTAAGATGGAATATTTCTAAATGGGAGGAGGATACTGATGACATAAACAAGTGATGAAGGAGACACTGACAAGGGATTCTTACTTTTAAAAACAATTAACTTGATAAATATCTCAGTGAGAATAAGGTAGAGAAAACATGTGAGAAGGCAGACTAAATCTTTTTGTATCCTGACAGACAGCAAAAACACTTTTGAAGATCTTGCTCAGTTTTGACTTTCTTCCATATTTCCAGCGAATCTGCGAAGATTAAAATATTTGCTTTTTAGATTTCAAAATCAGTCAATCTAGATTGATTTGAACTGTGTTTTGTTACATAATGATAAGAGAGGAAGACATCTCTATAGTAAGCACATTTTATGTAATAATATCTACCCTATCAGACCTGTGTGCCCATTAGAATAATAGAAATCTGCACAGGTTAAAAACATAATCTGTATTTCATTATGTGGATACATATGTGTCTGTGTGGATGTTTGTCTAAAGTGAGTGTGTAATGGACATGCACAAAGTCATGCTCTTTTCCCTTCTGCATCTTTAATATGTACAGTAGGTCTAGAATCCTTTTAAAGCTTTTTGAATGGTAAACTTCAGGGATCCAGCTGAGATGTGACTGACATGCTTCTAAAGGGAGCTGCCCTGTGTGTGTGTGTGTGTGCGCAAGAGCTGCGTGCTGCAGCATATCAGCCTTTTGTCATCCTGCGAGGATTGGACTGTACCATGCTGCTAAGTCAGGAAAATGAGCTGGGAACACGGGCACGGAGAGTCCACTCGCTCCTTTTGTGTGTAATACCAGGTTTATATTGCAGTTCTGCTAACTGTAGATTCTTTCCAAAACTGAAATTGTTTTAAGATTAATGTAGAGCAAAATAAGGAAGCAGGAGTGGTTTGGTGACATTATTTTGACATGATTGGCTGAGGATTATGATGTAATAGGTTACAGTGCAGCCCCTTATAGGTTTTAAAATGAATTCCAAGACACCATTACAAAGAAAGCTTGACTCTTTTCTTGTATCTGAGCTTACTCAGTGAAACTCATACAAATGTACAATACTGTTTGGAATATGGAAGAACTGGATGTAGAATATCCTAAGACAGATATAAGTTGTGGCACAGACTTGATGTTTTACATAGAAATGGATCCACCAGGTAAAACTGCAGTCTTATTATAGAAGACTTAATAATTTTGGTCTTTGCTATAGATGCTGGAAAATTGCTACTGGATATGTAGGATTTCTTTACTTTGTTATTGACACAAATATTCTTTTTTCATAAATTAGAATGAAATTGTTGTTTAGTGCATGGTTGTAGTAATTAGAATCTTAACATATACCTGTCTGCTTATTTAATTGAATTTTTAATGAATTGACCTGTTTATAGTTTTTTTTAATTATATCAGAGGTAGTTCTAGTCCTGCTATTATATCATTAAAAAACTTGTATTTCTTTTATTATTATTTTTGCTGTCTCTGTTCCACACTGTACCTAAAAGGAGATGCTGTAGTATCACTCTTGTTTCCTGAAATACTGATTACAAATCATTGGTTTGGACTGTTTAAGGAAAAACATTTTTAAAATTTAGCAATATTAATTGAATACCTGCTATAGCATCATTTTTTTCATATTATATGAAAATATTATGCTATCCTGATATTCACTGCAACTTTAAAAACATTGTCTTTTGAGTCCGGTCATACTATACAGGACAGGAATGATGTACTTACTGAAAGAGCTGAGTTGATTTTTGATGCTGATTCCAATGTAGTCCCCCTTGTTACTAAGTCAGTGCTGCAGTATCTTCTCTGGCACCCACTGGTATACGTATGCAGCTTTGACATTGAGAAAAGGGGAATGTGGTTTTTAATCAGTCCTGCCATTTGAACACAATTTATTCTGTAGAATAATAAGATTAACACAAGAGATATTTAGGTCACAGATGGGTTTCTTAAACTGTTGGTTTGGGGGTTTTTTTCCTTTTTTTTTTTTTTTGCATATCATTGCACAGAATGCTAAGGATCACAAAAACCCAATTCTTTTTGAAATATACAGAATTGCTGTGGGTTTGCATTTTTTATTACTCAGCTTATAGGTAAGGAAGCAGCAAAATTTGTCTAAGATTATTACATAGGAGGATAAAAAAAATTTGGCATGTTTCATTATTTATGTTCACCTGAAGGTAGTGAAAGAAGGTAAAAGCAAAGTTCAGATTTTTTTTCTCAAATGCTTTCTTCACAGAGGGAGGAGGTGAGTTTAGTGTTATATTTTGCTTAAAATACATTATTACAAGAGTAACATAGTTTTTTGAAACAGTACAACTTTATTTTGAATTATTTTGTTTTCAGTACAGTATCTTGATTCCTCTAATGTCTTTTAAGAACTGTTAGTGATGGACAACTCTGTTTGGTAACCAGTCCTTTTTTTTCCTCATTCATAGAATCATAGAATTCATGTAGTAACTTGTGATTTCAAGGAATATATGGTCATGTTCTCAGTGTGTTATAATCAACTTTTTTCCCCCCTTTCATTTGCAGCACTGCCTCCTAAGCCACCAAAACCTAATACCGTAACTAACAATAGCATGAATAACAACATGTCATTACAAGATGCAGAATGGTACTGGGGAGATATCTCAAGGTAAATCAGCTCAAGACATATATTTCTTATGCTTGGCTTGATGTTCTTGCTGTGCTATTCTGTGTATATGTATTATGCTTCAAGTGTAAAAAATTTAGAGTTATAAGAGCCATTTTTAGGATATTTTCCAACACAAACATATTACAGCTGATTTTATTCCAAACATGACTAAAAAGTTACTGGCAGTCAGTTAGAATGTAGTATGCAAAATGATTGTTCTATTACTTTAAGATAGCTATATGAAAAACTAGCATGAAAGGACAGCACCAAGAAATAAATATTTTCTTCTTGTCTTTCATCCAAAACCTCAATTGTAGGCACAATAGTTAACAAATCAGACTAACAAGTGCCATATATTAGCAACATTTTTAACTGTACTATATATAGGTACACTAGGCCAGCACTGGCTGCTCAAATTGTACAGGCTTGTATGAACAAGCAGAAAGACCTTTGCATGAATAATAATTTTGTCCAGCAGTGAGAGGACAGAGTGTGCCATTTTTGTATCCCAGTTTTCTCCAGCAACTTTAAATGAGCTATTGAATAATTGTATTTATTAATATGGAGATCTAGAAGGCTTCTAAAACCCACCTGTTTTAAACCAGAAAAAATTAGAGCACAGTGAGAGAATAAATGCATGAGAAGTAACTGAAATGATTGGTTACTTTTGCTTTCATTTTAGGGAAGAAGTAAATGAGAAGCTTCGAGACACTGCTGATGGTACCTTTTTGGTACGAGATGCTTCAACCAAGATGCATGGGGACTACACACTTACTCTAAGGTGAGATTAGTTAATACTAGGTCTGTGATACTTGATAGTAAAATGCAATAACTGCATTTAGCATACAGCGTGCTTTAGGAAATAGTACTTGAAGTATGCCTAACTTTTCAACATACTGTATTTGCAGGAAAGGAGGAAATAACAAATTAATCAAAATTTTTCATCGAGATGGAAAATATGGTTTTTCTGACCCATTAACTTTCAACTCTGTGGTCGAGCTAATAAACCACTACCGGAATGAATCTCTAGCCCAGTATAATCCTAAACTGGATGTAAAATTACTGTATCCAGTATCTAAGTACCAGCAGGTAATTTAGTCTATTTTCTTTGTGTGTTACTGAAATACTGAGAAATTACTGCAGACTGAGAAGTCATTTATCATTAAGAACTTCAGTTCTGTAAATGCGTGAAAAAATAAATTGGGTGTAAAACCTGATATTTTTGTTTAAAAACAACTCCACACTTTCCATGTAAATTTGAAAATTTAAATACTGTGGATACATTATTAAGAAATAAACATCTTAATAAATATCCCACTCAATGATAAAATATATAATTTTCATTATAAAGCTAAACACTTGCAATACAAATTTTCTTTTTGTCATTAATTTCTCATTTGCATATTATGCAGTTAGTATTCTCTGTATTGAAGAAAGAGGAATCACATTTCCATGTAATTATCTAGGTATTTTTAAGTAGTTTTTTCTGGAAAATCTCTGCAATACAATTGTTTCATTATGGAATATCTTTCCTTCTGCTCGTCATTCCAGGATCAAGTTGTAAAAGAGGATAGCATTGAAGCAGTGGGAAAGAAATTACATGAATATAATACCCAGTTCCAAGAAAAAAGCAGAGAATATGACAGACTATATGAAGACTACACAAGAACATCTCAGGTGAGCTAGATTTGAAGCAGAGTGGAAGACTTTGTAGATTTTGAAGAATATTATTGTGAATTCATGCTGCCATCTTCCTACTCCTCCCCTCTGCCACCACTGCCAGTGCCCTGATATGGTTGCTCAGAATAGTACAATTACTTGCTTGTGTTTGAACACCCATCACCTGTAAACTTAACTACACTGTGCCCAACTCTGACAACTCCATCCAAAGCAAGTCCATAACTATCTGGATTTACCAGCACTTCTGCATACTGACCTCATCAAGATGAGTTATGGTTTTCAAGGCGTGTTTGCAAGGAAGCATTGAAGAACTGAAATAATTGAAGAAAAGTGGAGAACTTCTGGCAACTTGAACTTTAACTTGTATGACTAAAGACTTGGCTATCAACTAGGTATGTAGTGGCAGGATAGGCTAGATGACTTCATGAGACCTGTTCAGGCCAGTATCTTACACCTTTATTTCAGAAAGTCAGCTGTACCTCTAAGGGCATTAGTTGGTACAAAGGGCAAAGGGTGCTGCCATATGGCTCTAAGCATCACAAATAAAATTTATTTATACAAAGCAAAGGTTGTAACTGGTTCTTTTTCTAGCAGTTCCACTTCCTTGATAAACCTCATCATGGTAGCCTTTTGCACAAGCCAGTTGTCTCTATGTCATAAGGCTTTGAAGAATGCCTTTTTGGTAAAGGGATATTGAAGTCTTGTTTTACAACATACTGAAGTGTTTCTGTGATAGAAGCCAATAAATTTTCCCCTTTGTCTGATATCAACTGTAATAACAATTACTTTTTTTTCAGGAAATTCAAATGAAAAGAACAGCTATTGAGGCATTTAATGAAACAATAAAAATATTTGAAGAGCAGTGCCAAACACAAGAAAGATACAGTAAGGAGTACATTGAAAAATTTAAACGGGAAGGAAATGAAAAAGAAATACAGAGGTCAGTATTTGGTTTTGCATTTCAAATTGTGTGGTTTTTGAAAAAACAAACTGCCAAGTATAGGTGTGCCTGAAACTGAAGCAAGATGACAAGTTTAAAGCTGTAAGCAAAAAAGCTTCAAATAGGGTAGATGTGAACTTGTGAAATATATAGCTACATCTAGAGAAGTAATCTGTTCCCTTAAGTGTCTACACATATAAATAGCAGATTATAAAGTTATGAGTAAGAGATCAGAGTTTAACCTACCGCATTATTCTATCCAGAATTATGCACAACTATGAAAAACTGAAGTCTCGGATAAGTGAAATTGTGGACAGCAGGCGTAGATTAGAAGAAGATTTAAAGAAGCAAGCAGCTGAATATAGAGAGATAGACAAGCGTATGAACAGCATTAAGCCAGACCTCATACAGCTGAGGAAGACAAGAGATCAGTACTTGATGTGAGTATCATGAATTAACAAGTTTGGTTTTAAGTTGGTTTTTTTTTTAATGGTATCCAACTTTTGTGACTAAAAATTAATTTTATTTACAATTATTGTCCAGGTGGCTGACTCAAAAAGGTGTTCGGCAAAAGAAGCTAAATGAGTGGCTTGGAAATGAAAATGCAGAAGAGTAAGTATTGAAAGATTTAAATATTTCTGGTGTTTCAAATCATCTTACACAGAAGTGAGATAAAGGATATTTAATTCTTGGACCACACAGAGGAAATCTCAAGCCTACTAACAATGCACACTGTTAAGGCATGACAGCCTACATAATGCCAGTATTGGAAAGGATGCTGTCTCACCCCCTACTCTACATTTTTCAGGGAAGTGTATAATCAAGTTACTATAGCAAAGCACTGAAATGTAACTTGTGTCTTTATTCTTACCAGCAAAATTAAGCTCATGAAGTGTTAGTATCTTAGAGAGACGTGACATGGATGGATAAATTGTTCAGAAGGTCTCTTAGGTATGAGCAGCCTTTTTCTGAATTTCAACTGTTGTTACCATATTGTTATCTTCTGTAGTGGTACCCACATGAGTATATCACAATACTGTTGGAGATAATAAATTTGTATATGCTGAGGAGTGGACCTTCTCTGGTTTTGTGATTTATTTAATTTTTCTGGAAAATGGCAGGATAGTATTCTGTCATTTCAGGCAATTTAGTATACTATAGCTTCTGACAGGGGCTAGACTGGGAAAAAAGCAAAAAGCAGTTGAGTTTTGTGAATGTAGACCAGATTTTAACAAAAACGGGACACAAAATAATATCTGAAGTAGTAACAGTGAAGAATGAACAAATAGAAAATCAAAGTTGTCTCAGTAACATCTGTATAAATATTTTCTGCCTATGTAGTTTCTTGTGCATGCCTTTTATGCTGCTTGGTTGAATATACAACAAAAGCAGCAGACTGACAATGACTCTTCAGTGGTTTTACATTCTAGCCTTGTCTACATCTATTTTAATTTGTCTTGGTTTATTGAGTCTCTTACTGTTATTCTAGAAATTGTGCTTCTCTGCTGTGGTAGAAGCAGGAGATAAAAATGACATACACGTTTTACAGCCACGTTGTTTTCTGAATCTTAGTACAATTCAAAGATGATATGATGTAAGATATGTAGGCACCTGTTCCCAGTAGTACTCCTATCACTTA